CACAGGATGTTAGTCATGCTGAGATGACAGAAGCAGCTGAAGATGAGGGTGAGAGGATAGAGGTTGATGAAGGAGATGTTGAGAGGACAAAAGCATATGTAGTTCAGGAAGAGAGGATAGAGGTTGAGGAAGGTGATGTTGAAGGTGAGAGGACAGAAGCAAATGTAGTTCAAAAAGAGAGGATAGAGGTTGAGGAAGATGATGGTGAGAGGACAACAGCAGATGAAGTGTAGGAAGAGAGGATAGAGGGACAAGAACCTGATGTCGAGGCTGAGAGTAGAGAAGCAAATGAAGTTCAAGTTGAGGCTGAGAGGATAGAGGTTGAGGAAGCTGATGGTGAGAGGACAACAACAAATGAAGTGCATGAAGATGAGGGTGAGAGGACAGAGGTTGAGGAAGGTGATGCTGAAAGGACAGCAACAGATGAAGTGCATGAAGAAATGATACAGGTTGAGGAAGCTGGTGTTGAGGCTGAAAGGATAGAAGCATAGGATGGTGAGGGTCATAGGTTAGATGGTCAGGCTTACAGAATATAAGTACAAGACTTGGAGGATATAGAAATAGAAGTCTGTGATTGGAGTACATCACGTGATAATGATGATGGTGAGATGCACAGTGAGGATGGGTTAGTAGACATAAATGTGCAGTGTGATGAGGTTGAGGTTGAACCTGTTTTACTTGGGTCTGAGTCAGATATGGAAGAAGATGATATTAATGATTCCATTTGGTTCAATGACAATCTGAGGACTTAACTTCTCCTGATATTAGTGATGAGGACAATGAGGATGAAGAAGGGTATGAACATTTTTCTATGTTTACTATGCCCAAAAAAATGATTGATTTCAACTTGGAAGTGGAAACATATTTCGTGCATAAACAAGACATCCTTGATGTCATCAAAAGTTATGCAGTAGACGATGGGAAAAATTTGAAACTTGTTAAAAATGATAAAAAAAGAATTAGGGTTAAAAGTTTGGGATCAAAAGGAGAATGTCCGTGGAAGGCATATTTTGGTTTCATGGATGCAGTAAAGTCATGGCAACTGAGGACTGTGGTTGACAAACATACATGCAGTAAGGAACACAAGTTGCGAGTATTCAATGCAAAATGACTTAGTAGAAAATTGGAAAAAACACTGAGAGAGAATCCTAATGTAAAGGGAGTTGATATTAGAGATAAAATTACT